GAAAGAGTATAGACCATGGAGCAGCCCTGGGTTTGGAGCTTGGCCCTGACACTGACTAGTTGTGTGTCCTTACATAAGTTACTTAACCTCTCTTGTGCCTTAGATCCATCAACTGTATAATAAAGCTAATGATACTACCTACCCATCAGGTTGTTGCGAGAATTGAGTCAGTAAATGTAAAAGCACTTAGTAAGTATTACATAAATGTATATACTATTATTATTATTACCTTTTTTCCTTTCCAATCCTTATACCTTTTATTTCTGGGCTTGCTGCACTGGCTAGAACCTAAAGTACAATGTCAAACAGAAGTGAAGATAGCTGGCATCGGTGATTTACCGTTAAGATTATGCTTACTGTGTGTTCATTTAAGATTGCCTTTATCAGATTAAGTAATGTCCATTTAATTCCTAGTTTGCTAAAAGTTTTTATCATGGTAGGATGCTGAATTTTATCACATGCTTTTTTTGTGTCTATTGAAATAATCATGATTTTTCTCCTATAATATCTTAATGTGATGAATTATATTTATTTGGTTTTATAATGATAAAGCGAACTTGCATTTCTGAGATAGTCTGTACATCCTAAAGTGCAGGAATATCAGTGCTGCAGTGGCCACGGCTGCCTTGAACCAGCCAGATGTACACTAAAGTGAAAAATGGGAGCAAAGATGGGTGGAGCCCCGAAAGCAGCAGACTCACAGTGTTCTAGGCCTCAACCTGCTCTTCAGCTTCAACACACCCATGTCCCCACGCTCAGGAAATGCAGTTATATCAAACAGCTGCATTTAATGGAAAGAAATTCCTTTTGCTCCCAGGATTCTGGTTACTTACAGGAGGTTTATGATGTCTCAATTTGAGAAACTGCCCTCTTGCCACATTCATGCTTTGGTAGAACACCTTAAGAGCTTTGGCAAATTCTCTGTCATAGCTGGCTTGCTGGGTGCGCATCTGATTAATCTCTCTGGCTGCTGGCAATTGTGCTGTCATCCCAGTTAGCTTCAGGGTATTGGAAGGCTTATGTGCTGAGGTTGAAAGATAATGTTTATTTATTCATCTATTTATTTATCCAGATATTTATATATTTAATTATCTTGGTGCATTTTACTACATCAGCATTTATCAGGCACCAATTTGGACCCATTCAAAGAAATCTTACAGGGAAAAAGGAAAAAAAGTTCCCCCCTTTTTTAAACTGAAACAAGATATTAAATCATTTAAAATCTCATTTCTTAGAAAGAAAATACACATCACAAATGTAGGAGTTTAGAGAAAAGCTAAACACCAAGACTTGAGCGGCCTCTTACCTTGTTGACTAGAACCAGTTTTCTCAAGAGATTCTTTAAGAAACACATTTTCCTCTCTGAGCACTCTGTTAATGTTTCTGAGCAGTTCTGTCTCCTGTTCTAACTTGAGCAGCTTCAGATAAAGTTCTGGTATCTGGTTTGATGTAGTCTACAAAAAACAGGTCAGTTTAGCCTTTTGCTGGATTATTTGCATACGCTTGGAGAGTGGCAGTTGTTCCTACCATGTGAAAACTACGTGGGGTGGAGGGGTGTGGTGACCAGGGTTTAAGACCCTCAGGGTTCACAGGAATAAATCAAGAAAAAGGTTTTTTAATGGGAAGGAACATTGATGATCCCCAAGCAACTGTCATTGGAGATATTTTTAGTCATCTGTGACATCTATTTTTAATGTCACTTAAGTATACACACCTGGCCCTTATCCATCACAGCAGATATTTTCTTGGTGTCCACCATGATGTGGCCTTCACCTGTGACCATGAGGCCTGGCTGAGAGCAGCTCAGTTCGGCACAGCCTTCTGTAGTGTGGAGGAGACACCATCAAGGAAAGAAATGTCTCAGTTGTCCAGCCCCCCTGTTGTGTGAGGAGATTTAAGCCATATGATCACCTGTGGACTAAAAGCCAGAGGCCCAAGGGACGATAGCTCTTGGCCACTGTTGTCAAGACCCTGACCACCTCCCTCCATCCTCTGCAGCCCTAGGTATACAGACATGATATCTGACTGAGGAATGCACCATGCAAAAGAGGAAGTAAATACGGTACCTTGAAGGCCCCATAAATCAACAATGAGAGCATTTGTCTGTAAATAATTCAGAAACTCCTGAGATGCATTTAAGGCTGTAAATTGGACAGTCTCTTCAATTTGGGGATTCAGAATTTTCCATACAGGCTTGGTATATAAAGTGTTTGGAAGATCATAAATTCTGTACCTGAGACAAGAACAGAAAACATAACTTAAAACCATAAGGGATACATTTGTAAAGAAAAGTTATCAGGTGAGCCAAAGAATTACAGCCTGCTTTGGTTAGTTGATGAAAGGTGACCTATAATTGATTCTCGTGATTGCCACCTCCAACATCTCAGCTATTCAATGTGGGTATCATCATTACATAGATAATATTAAATGTCTAACAAAAAGAGAAAAGGATTTTGATAAATACTTTCCACTTAGATAATCTAAAATTGTTAATTTTCCACATGAGGTTGCAGTTTGTTTTTGTCCTTCAAAGCCTACCTTTTTTATTGCTGTATCTTTTAATATCCTTTTAGCTTAATTAGTTTAAGTTTTTAGTTTAAGCATATCTGGTGCCTCTGCCATATTGTAATACAGTCCTTTTGTTTCCAACTAAATAAAATAAACCCAATCATCCTACTTAGATAACACAGTCTTACTGGATAGTCTTTCTGATAATTAAAATTCCTGACTCTTTGCTTCAATTACTTAGGAGGATCAGTACACACTAATCACATTCCACTGACCTGGAGGGGCATGTGGCTTATCTGTCTGTTAAACAGTTGGAGGAAATAGTCATTTGGGGGTTGAACAAGCAAAAAAAAACTTAAGAAAATGACATGATAGCTCATTCTTAAAACTTGAGGAAAGACTCCCTCCCACCAGGGCCCACAAAGTGGACAGTTCGTGTTCAGCAGCTCTGCGGGGCAGGCTGGTACCCCATCTGAACACCCCGCTGTGCATCTTCCTTCAGCCACTTGGTGCCAAGGCACCGCACAGTGCGAATCTGGAAATCCATTCTCTTGCCCAGCAGCTCCAGTGGGTCAATAACCACATCCTCCTCACCACGTGCTCTACGAACAGAAGAGGTAAACATTGTCACAGGTTAGCCTGGGTCCAAGCAAGTTAGGAGTGTGATGTCAATGGGAATTACATAGACTCCTAAGAGATGGCCAGATTCTCTGAAGGAAGGATGGGTAATATTACCAGCTGTAGAATTCATCCATTCAAGAGATATGTAACAAGAGCCCACTCCATGCTCTAGTACTCAAGGTAAGATATGGACTATCTCAAGGAGGAGACAGGAATATAACAGCTTCTTGCAGTAAATGTACCCAGATGTGGGTGCCAAACTAGCATTGAAGATTTAGATAGGTTCCCAGTGGGATAGAGGGGCTGCCACCCAGAGAAAGCCAGCTGGCTGCCCAGATGCAGCCTCTCCGGGTGTCATCTACTGCAGTGAACTCCTCAAGGTCTAGGGTCAACCCCAGGCCCTCAGGCTCCGAACTCAATAGGGACAGCTTTCCAATAGGGGACCTCTCTCACATCAGCGAGCTCACAAAGATTGAAACCTGTAAACTAGAATGCTACTTTATTAGTTCAGAGTGGGAAATATAACCATCAGGCAGCCTAGAAGCCCGAGGTAGCAAAATGACCAAGAAGTTTGCTTAGAGTCCCAGTAAAGACAGTGAGTCAGCGGTCATCTTGGTCCTTTAGTCACAGCACTTTGCAGTTTTCTTGCTCCCTTCTTCAGCCTGTTTCCTCTTCAGAAAGAGAAAGAGATTGCATCAGGTACCCATGAGGACCCTGGCACCCAGACCAGACCTCCTGCCGGCCTCTCTGCTTAGAATTGCTAAGAGACTTTAGCTTTTGTAAAAGCTCCCTTAACTGCCTTTGGCTCAAGGAGAGAAAACAGATGAGACGCCCTAAGGGGACAGTAAAGGTAATGGAGTGGGGTTAGAACAAAGGTTGGATAACAGCTCAGAATGAGGCCACATAAGGAAACAAAGACACCACAGTTCCTTCCTTGAGAAAAGGAACAAAGAAATTACCAGAGTCTGTGCAGGGAGATAGACTGAGCTACAAAATGAGCTTTTCTGCTTCTGCCTCTTGGGCCTCATCAGCAGGGATGAGGACCTAGCACTGGAAAGAGCAAGTGGGCGTGGTGGGTACCAGACCTCACGGGCGCTCCGGGCGGGGGGTGGGGGGTGGGGGGGGCTGTGAGTAGAAGGTCCTACAGCACCCTTGGCTTCTCTACCGACCAGGTCTTTTGGTTCATGTCCACGTTTCCTTCTACTGCAGTCCTGCCTCTTTGCAGGATATCTTCCTCACTCCTTTGGTTCCCTAGGGCAGTGCTGAGCTGCTCAAAGGCTGCTGGACATGGGATTTTAAGTATTCCAGGTCAGCTGCTTTGGCTGCCATGGCAAAATCAGATTTGATAAAGCCAAATTATGAATGAACAAGTTCATTCATTTGCCTCACGAATGACCTCTTCAGGGTACCAAGCTGACCACCCCCTCCAGGAGAACTCAGGCATGCTATGAGTTTTCTGTGTGGCCGACCCAGAACTAGACAAGGTGGCGGAGGAGATACCCACTGTCCTGTCGGGGAGCAGGGGCCCATGCGAATATGCAACACTGCCTCTTCTAGCCCGTCACAGTTCAGAAACTCCACTTGCTCTTCGAACTTCATGCAGTAGGCAAGCGACTGGAGCCAGATGTGAGCTGAGCCCAAGTGGATGACCTCAGCAGGATCCCAGAAAGGGTCATCTTCCTGAGCTACGTGGCTATCTTCTCCATCCAGAAAACGCTGGTAAAGTTCCTCCATTAGGAATTTCCTATTGATAAACTTGGCTTTTGACCAAATCCACACCTGGAAACACAAAGGTAGGTCGCCAGTATTTGATTCCATCTGCTGCTCTCACGACTCATTTCTATGATTTTTCCCAGCATGCTTTCTCTGATGGGCTGGATTTTGGGTACCCAAGACCTATAACACTCTCATCAAACTTAGCTTTGGTGAGGTCCTTCAAGAGCACTACATTCATTCCCGACCTATTTACTTCAGCATTGCTGGATCCCAGGAACTGACTTAGAGGAAACGATGGAGTTAGAAAACAGACCCTCCCGGGAGAAATGAAGGTTTGGGCTTGTACACAGAAGAATGACCCTCAAAGATGTCCATGTTGGGCTTCCCTGGTGGCGCAGTGGTTGAGAGTCCGCTTGCCTATGCAGGGAACGTGGGTTCGTGCCCCGGTTCGGGAAGATCCCACATGCCACGGAGTGGCTGGGCCCGTGAGCCGTGGCGCTGAGCCTGCGCATCCGGAGCCTGTGCTCCACAACGGGAGAGGCCACAACAGTGAGAGGCCCGCGTACCACAAAAAAAAAAAAAAAGAGTCCATGTCCCAGTCGCTGGAACCTGTGAATATGTTACCTTATGGCAAAGAGGAATCAAGTTTGCTTATCAGCTGACCTTAAAATAGGGAGATTAGCTTGTATTATCCAGATAGGCCCGGTGTAATCACATAGCCCTTAAATGTGGAAGAGGGAGGCAGAAGAGGGGGTCAGAGAAAGAGAGATGGTGACAGAAGCAGGGTCAGAGGGATGCTATATGGATGACTTTGAAGATGGCCATGAGCCAAAGAATGCTGGTGGCTCTAGAAGCTTGAAGAGCAAGGAAACATACTCTCCCCTCAAGCTTCCAGAAAGCAAAACATCCCTCCTGACACCTTGCTTTTAGCCCAATGAGATCTGTGTTGGACTTTTAACCTACTGAACTATAAGATAGTAAACTTGTGTGCTCACACCCAATGAGCAGAAAACCTAGGACAAGAGCCTGGCACGGTCTGTCCCTTCAGTAAGTGAGGGTTACCAGGAGGAGTGGCCAACATGGAGGAGTAGGAAGTCCCTGAGCTCACCTCCTCTCATGAGCACACCAAAATTAGAACTTTTTTTTTTTTTATAAATGTATTTATTTATTTATGACTGTGTTGGGTCTTCGTTTCTGTGCGAGGGCTTTCTCTAGTTGTGGTGAGCAGGGGCCGCTCTTCATCGCGGTGCGCGGGCCTCTCTTGTTGCGGAGCACAGGCTCCAGACACACAGGCTCAGTAGTTGTGGCTCACGGGCCCAGTTGCTCTGCGGCATGTGGGATCTTCCCAGACCAGGGCTCAAACCTGTGTCCCCTGCACTGGTAGGCAGATTCTCAACGACTGCGCCACCAGGGAAGCCCAAAATTAGAACTATTTATAGGGCAACTATCGATGAGGAAGACCTGAAGACGAGTAGAAAAGATCTTCTACAACTAAAGATATAAAGAGGGAACCACCACAACGAGATGGGTAGGAGGGGTGGAGACACAGTATAATCAAGACTTATAACCCCAGGTGAGCAACTCACAAACAGGAAGATAATTACAATTGCAGGGGTTCTCTCCAAGGAGCGAGGGGTCTCAGCCCCACATCAAGCACCCTAGCCTGGGAGTCCTGCACTGGGAAGACAAACCTCCAGAACGTTTGGCTTTGAAGGTCAGCTGGGCTCACTTTCAGGAGAGCTAAAGGGCTGTGGGAAACGTAGACTTCACTCTTAAAGGATACACCCAAAATCTCACACATTTAGAGACCCAGGGCAGAAACACTAATTTGAAAGGAGCCTGGATCAGGCCCACCTGCTGATCTTGGAGAGCCTCCTGGAGAGGCAGGAGGCAACTGGAGCTCACCGGGGGACATAGGTGCTGGGGCAGCCATTTGGGGGGCCTGTTCTACCAAGAGGACACTGGGGCTGACAAGCACATTTTGGAGTCCTCCCTCTAGTGTGCTAGTGCTGGGACCTGGCCCCGCCCACCAGCCAGTCAGCACCAGTCCTAGGATACCTCAGGCCAAGCAGGTAGTGGAAGGGGGCACAGCCCCATCCATCAGCAGGCTGCTGGCTAAGGACCCCCCCAGCTGCTAGGGGACCCAGAGGGCCCAGGACCCAGCCCTGCCCACCAGCGGGTTGATACCAACTCCAGGAATCACTAGGACGCCACTCTGCCCACCAGTGGGCCAAAACCAGCTCCAGAACCCCCAGGACCATATAACCTGAGACCCCAGGACACAGCCTCACTCACCAGCTGGTCAACAACAACTGTGGGACCTGCAGGACTCTGCAGCCATCAGGCCAGCACTAGGCCTAGGACCCCCCTGAGCCCCAACCCCACCCACCAGCAAGCCAACAGCAGTTGTGAGAAACTTGGGCATCTCTAGATCTGCCTCAGGATCCAACCCCACTCACCAGTGGGCCGACACCAGAGTTAGGACACCCCAGGCCCCACCGCCAGCCATGTCAGGAGACAGCACCACCCACCAGCAGGCAAGCAGGCAAGAGTAGATCTGAGATCCCTGGCCTTGCAAACAGCCACCCCAGGGCCCAGCTCCACCCATCAATGGGCCAGGACTAGCCCCAGAACCCCTGGGGCTCCACAGCTAGCCACCTCATAACACAGCCCCAACCATAAGTGGCTGGCAACCTCTACAAAAGGCAGGACCTGGCAACCAACCAGACTGGGGGCCAGCCATGCCTACCAGACCACCCACAGTAGTCATCCCACTACAACAGAAGGGCCCACACAGCCAGTATAGGAGGCACCCCTATAGCATATAGCTCTGGTGATCAGAGGGGAGGGCACTGCTGGGACACATAGGACGTCTCCTACAAAAGGCCACTTCTCCAAGATTGGGAGATGTAACCATATATTTCTGCCAAATATATAGAAATAAAAAAGCAAATTAGTCAAGATAAGGCAACAAAGAAATATGTTCCAAATGAGGGAACCAAGATAAAAAAGAAGAACAAAATGAAATGGAGATAAGCAACCTACCCAATAAAGAGTTCTAAGTAATGATCATAAAGATGCTTAAAGAAATCGGGAGAAGAATGGAGTAACACAATGAGAATTTTAACAAAGATTTAGAAAATATAAAAAAGAACCAAACAGAGCTGAAGAATACAATAACTGAAATGAAAAAAAATATTTTTTTTTTTCTACTGTTGAAGGAATCAACAGTAGATTAGATGATACAGAGGAACAGATCAGCAAACTGGAAGAGAGAGTAGTGGAAATCACCAAAGCTGAACATAAAAAGGAAAAAGAATTTTTTAAAGGAGGACACTTTAAGAGACCTCTGGGACAACATCAACCATATTAACATTTGCATTATAGGGGTCCTGGAAGGAGGAGAAGAGAGAGAGAAAAGGTCAGAGAACTTATTTGAAGAAATAATAGCTGAAAACTTCTCTAACCTGGGAGAGGAAATAGACATTCAAGTCCAGGAAGCAAAGAGAGTCCGAAACAAGATGATCCCAAAGATATCTACAGCAAGACACATGGTAATTAAAATGGCAAAAATTAAAGATAGAGACTCTTAAAAGCAGAAAGAGAATAGCAACATGTTATATACAAGAGAACTCCCATATGGCTATTAGCTAACTTTTCAGCAGAAACTTTGCTAGCCAGAAGGGAGTGGCATGATATATTTTAAACGATGAAAGGAAAAAACCCTGCAACCAAGAATACTGGACCCAGCAAGGCTATAATTCAGATTTAAAGGAGAGATAGGGTTTCATAAACAAGCAAAAATTAAAAGAGTTCAGCACCACTAAACCAGCTTTACATTCATGATAAAAACTCTCATCAGGTGGGTTTAAAGGGGACACATCTCAACATAATAAATGCCATTTATGACAAATCCACAGCTAACATTGTACTCACTGGTGAAAAGCTGAAAGCCTTTCCTCTAAAATCAGGAAAAAGACAAGGATGTCCACTGTTACAACCTCTAATTAACATAGTATTTGAAGTCCTAGCCACAGCCACCAGACAAGAAAAAGCAATAAAAGGCATCCAAATTGGAAGGGAAGATGTAAAACTGTCACTGTTTGCAGATGACATAATTTGATACATAGAAAACTATAAAGTCTACACCAAAAGATTATTAGAGCTATTAAATGAATTCAGTAAATTTGCAGGATACAAGATTAATATACAGAAATCTGTTGCTTTTCTATATACTAAAAATGAACTATCAGAAAGAGAATTCAAGAAAACAATCCCATTTACAATTGCAAAGCAGAGAATAAACTAGGAATAAACTTAACCAAGGAGGAGAAAGATCTATACTCTGAAACTATAAAACACTGATGAAGGAAATTGAAGATGATTTAAAGAAATGGAAAGATATCCCATGTTCATGGATTGGAAAAATTAATACTGTTAAAAAGTCCATACCTACCCAAAGCAATCTACAGATTTAATGCAAGCTGTATCAAAATTGCCATGACAGTTCTCAGAACTAGAGCAAACAATTCTAAAATTTATATGGAACCACATATAAAATTTATATGGATCCCCAAAGGCCAAAGCTGTCTTGAGAAGAAAGAATAAAGATAGAGGCATCATGCTCCCTGACTTCAGACTACACTACAAAGCTGCAGTAATCAAAACAACATGGTACTGGCACAAAACAGACATATAGATCAGTGGAACAGAACAGAGAGCCCAGATATAAAACCATGCACCTATGTTCAATTAATCTATGACAAAGGAGGCAAGGATATACAATGGAGAAAAGACAGTTTCTTTAATAAGTGGTTCTGGGAAAACTGGATAGCTACATGTAAAAGAATGAAATTAGAACATTTTCTCACACCATATACAAATGTAAACTCAAAATGGATTAAAGCCCTAAATATAAGTCCTGAAACCATAAACCTAGGATAAGACATAGGCAAAACACTCTTTGACATAAATCGTAGCAATATTTTTTTGGCTCTGTCTGCTAAGCAAAAGAAACAAAATAAAATATAAACCAATGGGGGATGTCCCTGGTGGTACAGTGG